GAGAAGATTTTAATATAAATAGGGAGGAGCATATTAGTTTATTCACATCCTCAACTGATCCTCAGTTTGAGATCAACTATTAACAGTAAAGTGATCAACAGACAAGAAAGGTACCACAGGATACCACTTGATAAGTGGCAATGAAGGCCTTTGAAGAGATATTTGGATGCCTCAGCTTGTCTACATCTACAAGCTCAGAACTGTTCAGACTCTTTTTTTTCTATAATATTCTATAGAAGCAAAGTTAGCCATTGAAGAAGCAGAATAGAGTACTGATACTTTTGAACTTTGAAGTTGAAATCAGCTCTTGAGGACACCTTGGATAGAGAAAGAAATAATTTCTTTCTTTCTTTCTTTCATTCATTCATTCAGTGTACAGGTGAAACTCGAAAAATTAGAATATCGTGCAAAAGTTCATTTATTTCAGTAATGCAACTTAAAAGGTGAAACTAATATATGAGATAGACTCATTACATGCAAAGCAAGATAGTTCAAGCCGTAATGTGTCATAATTGAGATGATTATGGCTTACAGCTCATGAAAACGCCAAATCCACAATCTCAGAAAATTAGAATATTACATGCAATCAATAAAACAAGGATTGTACATAGAACAATATTGGACCTCTGAAAAGTATAAGCATGCATATGTACTCAATACTTGGTTTGGGCCCCTTTTGCAGCAATTACTGCCTCAATGCAGCGTGGCATGGAAGCTCAGCCTGTGGCACTGCTGAGGTGTTATGGAAGACCAGGATGCTTCAATAGCGGCCTTCAGCTCTTCTGCATTCTTCGGTCTCATGTCTCTCGTCTTTCTCTTGGCAATGCCCCATAGATTCTCTATTGGGTTCAGGTCAGGTGAGTTTGCTGACCAATCAAGCACAGTAATCCCATGGTCATTGAACCAGGTTTTGGTGCTTTTGGAAGTGTGGGCAGGTGCCAAGTCCTGCTGGAAAATGAAGTCAGCATCCCCATAAAGCTCGTCTGCCGAAGGAAGCATGAAGTGCTCCAAAATCTCCTGGTAGACGGCTGCGTTTACCCTGGACTTAATGAAGCACAGTGGACCAACACCAGCAGATGACATGGCTCCCGAAATCAACAGACTGTGGAAACTTCACACTGGACTTCAAGCATCTTGCAGTGTGTGCCTCTCCATTCTTCCTCCAGACTCTGGTCCTTGGTTTCCAAATGAGATGCAAAAGTTGCTCTCATCAGAAAAGAGGACTTTGGACCACTGAGCAACAGACCAGTTCTGTTTTTCTTTAGCCCAGGTAAGATGCTTCTGACATTGTTTGTTGTTCAGGAGCAGCTTGACAAGAGGAATACGACATTTGAAGCCCATGTCCAGGATCCATCTGTGTGTGGTGGCTCTTGATGCACTGACTCCAGCCTCAGTCCACTCCTTGTGAAAGTCCCCAATACTTTTGAATGGCCTTTTCCTGACAATCCTCTCCAGGCTGCAGTCATCCCTGATGCTTGTGCACCTTTTTCTTCCACACTTTTCCCTTCCACATAACTTTCTATTAATGTGCTTTGATACAGCACTTTGGGAACATCCAACTTCTTTTGCAATTACTTTTTGAGGCTTTCCCTTCTTATGGAGGGTGTCAATGATGGATTTCTGCACAACTGTCAGGTCAGCAGTCTTTCCCATGATTGTGATTCCTACTGAACCAGACTGAAAGACCATTTAAAGGCTCAGGAACCCTTTGCAGGTGTTATGGCTTAATTAGCTGATTAGAGTGGGACACTTTGAGCCTAGAATATTGCACCTGTTCACAATATTCTAATTTTCTGAGATTGTGGATTTGAGCCATAATCATCTCAATTATGACAAATAATGGCTTGAATTATCTTGCTTTGTATGCAATGAATCTATCTCATATATTAGGTTCACCTTTTAAGTTGCATTACTGAAATAAATGAACTTTTGCACGATATTCTAATTTTTCGAGTTTCACCTGTATATGCCATCTCATTTCATCATCAAGCAACTCTGGGTGGCTTATAATCCAGATCATAGAACAATTCAATCCAGGGTTCTCACTCACAGTACAAATGACCAGGTTCAAGTTATCACATTTGGGACACATTATGTGAAGGTCCAGCTCTATTGAGAAACCTATAATGACTATGAATGGTGGAAGGGGGGAAAAAGGATTGCCGGCACAAAAATACATGTACTCAATTACAGTGAAGATGGATGTGCAATTAAAAGACCCGAAGGATTAGGTTTTGGAGAGATCAGCTTGGAAGGAGTTTGTGATCACTAAGAGTAGACTTCAATTCAATCAATCAAAATTAAAATGTGGTGGGGGAGACTAGTTAGACCATGTGCCTGGCCTCTAGCCTACACTGTGCTCTTAGAGGCCCCAAGTCTCCATGTATCCACTGCCATTGTTTATGCCACTAAGCTGATACCATCACCACACAAATCTGCTCAATTTTTCTACATGCTTCAGTAAAAAATTTCCTGGAAAGCATGAGATACAGGAACAGTTCTTCCAGTACAATATCCTTCCAATTACAAACACTATCAAACCAACTATTTAGCAAGCTATGTATGATATGATTACACTGGAAAAGGAGGATTGATTAAACTTTTCATTCCCCATAAGAAAAAAATGAGGAGGACTCAAGTAGGACTCTACTTCTATCGAAGTAGAATATGCAAACAATATGCTTTTAAAAAGCTGCATTCTTGCAGTATTTTTAGAATTCAAAAGCGTGCCACAATTTTTAAGATTTAGATACAAAAGGCAAATTTGTATTTGTTGATTATACTGTTTATCTTCCTTCTCAAAGTGGAAAGCAGATTTATGGAATCACAACGTAAACTGGAAAGGGAAGGACAGGCAAACAAAGAGTAGAGACTACCACCAGACCCTGACAAACATTATTTCTGAATACCTTAATGAAAAGTTTCAAATTATGATCTTACCTGTGCAATATGATCATGAATACCACCATATGCCATCATCTTGAGTGTATGCAGCGCCATCTGGAGCGCTCGTGCTCCTTCAGTGTTTGACCGTTGAAGAGCCCAATAGGAGAAGAGGAAATTCAAATTAACTAGAATAAAAGAAAACAGTAAAATAATGAACATTAGTCAATGGTTTGTGTAATAGTAGCTCTTCCTATAGAAATAGCTAGACAATCTTGAACTAACCTGGGGTAGGGAATTTGGGAGATTCTGAGAATCCACCATATTCTTCATCATAAGTCTCTGATAGTTGTTGGAAACATCGGGTTGTAACTTCTTTTAAGGATGGGGGTGCTTCCTCCCCTCGAACGCCAACATCAGTCCTAGCTAACAGTGCAGATAAGATTTTCTGGCTGTTTTCCAAAAGGGTACTTTTGTTCCGTTTCCACTGAGGAGTGGGGAGAAGATATCTAAGTAATAGTTTGCTGCTCTTTATACGTGCCTCATCTAGATACATATCTTTTCAAGTTGCTTCAGAAAATGGTTTTGACATCATAGATGCTCCTCCTCACATATCAATTTAAAAACGAGATAGCAATGCATTAGGGGCAATGCACTCCAGCTGAGTTTTTATATATACTGTATATGTTTTCTCTCATTAAACTGAGCCATTATAGTTATATGTTGTAACTTATAGGTTAGAACACTGTAAAAGTCAACCTATAGTTCCTTCAATAAACACAGATTAAACGAGCTAATGTATGAGCCTAGATAATGAGATGCTAATAGCTGCTGCATCATGACCACAAAGGAAAAAAAATCATTACATGAATTTTTAATCCACAAAAATGTTTGCTGAGTTTTTGTTAATATATTACCTGCCTTCAGAGACATGCAACATCATGTAAAATATTTAAAATATTTTTTTAACCAAAACTGATTTCTATCCATGGAATATTTTCCATTAGAAAGTTCTATCTATAACTCAGTTTCTCTTTCCTTAAATCCTGTTGTCCCTAGACTTAAGCTAAAATTTCTCATTCATTACATTTTCTCTTATAAACCCTTCAAGTAAAAGCTCAAAATTGGCACTATTATGTGGCTTAATCTTTCATGTGTTATCCAATGACACATTCATCTTATTAAATTGTGGATACTGAATCCCATACCTGCTCTAGGATGCGAAGCAGAACAGTCCGAAAGCCAACCTGATAAATTCCATCCTCAGGTGGGAAATAAGTTCCACCTACAAATGGTTTGAGATCAGGAGTCAACCACACACTCATTGGCCAACCACCTCCGCTGCTGGTTGCCTGCAGTGAAACAGAATGAGATGGATCAGATTCCCTTCACATATGTTCTGAAAATAACCAAGTTTTCTCTCTAAATTCCAACTCCCCACCTGCACAAAGGTCATATAAACTTTATCAACATCTGGACGCTCTTCACGATCCACCTTGATGCACACAAAATTCTCATTCAAAATCCGACCAATTTCTTCATTCTGAAAGGATTCTTGTTCCATAACATGACACCAGTGGCAAGTCGAATAGCCAACTGAAAAAAGTATCAATTAAAGAAAGATTACTTATGAAAAAAATGATTAACCAGAGTTTCCAAATTGTGGTTTTAAGTCCACAGGAAGGGGACATAATGGAAGTTTCAGAAGAGATCCACCCACAATCTTCTGCAGTTCATTTAAAGGGCTGAGCAAAACAAGAACAAGAACTGTAATCAAACAAGAATTGCTGACCAGAAGTAATGTTAGTAATTCTAACCCTAGATAGGTTTTCAAAAAATGATAAAATATTACTCCTAAGAAGTAATAATACTAGCATAATAGTAAAAGGTTGCTGAATAAATGTGATTTGGATGTTTAAGAAAAAACTGTGATAGTTAAGTTTTGAAAAAAGATTGTAAAAATGGTAGAACCAGAAAAAGCAGAGACAGCAACTTGGACATATCGTTAATGATAATGCTGAATGCTTTCTTGTTTGCTAAATGTATTAAATTAAATATTAAATATTTTCATCTTGTGGGATCGAGGAAACATGCCTTCTCTGTCACCATCACTGCCCTCCACACAGCATCCCCCTCCCAGAAAAATAGGTGGTGCCCACTCTCCTGCAGTTCCAGAAAAAACTTGGTCCCCAGGCCCTGAGTTCATGTACCGTATTAGAGGAGGTCCTGCCACGGCTCTCAGGTTCTATCTTTCTTTTTAATGTTTTTGACTGTGTATATGGATTTTATACATGACCATGAGTTTACTAGAGTAGGCAGGCATAACAAATTTAATGAAATAAATAAATAAAATCAACCAGAACTTCTATTTTTTTAAAAAAGAAATCCAATATATAAATCCACCTCATTCTTCCAAAGTATATCTGTATCCATACTCTTTTAACTGTCAGATGTTTGAGATTGGCTTCTAATGAAATAACAAACCTATGGATGATGATCATGATGATAATCAAATTATTGATAATATTTGTAATATAAGCTCCTGCTCATTACAGAAGCAAACTGTATATCAAGAAATATAATTTTTAGAAGAAGCAAAGAAAGATGGACTTCATACTTTTCCCCAGAAAAAAAAAAAAGATTTATAAAAATACTGAGCAGTTGAAGATCTGCTTTGAACATTTATTCCTTTATTCACAAGTTTATCCTCTTGGATTTCAAACTTCTCCCAAAGGTATAGTATTGTTTTTATCTGTAAGCTCACAAACACATATCACACATTCCTTTTTTTTACCTGACAGAAATATTAACTTGTCCTCTCGCTTTGCCTTATCAAAGGCTTCCTGGCCCCATGGATACCTGAGGAAAATTGAGGAAAGAAAGAAGCTGGATTTTTTTTTATAGTTTTTCCTTTGAAATATACCTATGTTAAATGTAGGTAAGTGGCTACTGCCTTTTCTAACTGCTTGAAAAGCATTTTGATATAAGACAGCATCCACAGAACAATTCCATACTGTTGCTTTGCAGTCCAACATTCACCGTCAAGCAGAAGAAACCATGTGCATTCTAAAAAGTGCTGCCTGAATTATTTGCACAGGAAATAACACACTGCTAAGATCTGGAACTATATCAAAGTAACTCTCCTGGCTGGTCTCCAGTCTGAAAGGGAGGGGGAGCAGAGCAATTTAGCATAGTTTAGGTGTCAAGTGTATACTTAATTAGAATATGAGCTCATTGCTGCTGCTGATTTTAAGTATTCATGAAACAATTTTAATTAAAAGTAGTTTGCTGTGTAGTGAACAATCAGTGTGTTCTGGCCAGTCAGCTATTGGACTGGGATTGGGCAGACCCATACTCAGATCCATCTTCATGAAAATTCACAGAATGATTCAAGCCAGAAACTCTCTTCACTTAACCTACCTTGTAAAGTGGCTATTGTGAAAATAAAATTAAAACGAGACCTAAATGTTAGCTATCCCAAGCTGTTGAAAGAAAAGTAGACTATGTATCTAATTAATACACAGTGGGAAACATCCTATTGTTCTATGAGCACTCTTGGAAGATAGGTTCAGAGAATTAGATTTCAGGATTTTAATCTCATATTAAAAATTGGCTTTTTTAAACATGCTTTACATCCACTTCATTCCAGCTACTTTATCACTGAGCAAAACAGTCACTAAATGTAGCACACGATTCACAACATACAAGAGACATTGCAAAAATCATTGGTTGCTGCTGTCTCATTTAGATAAAATTCTCTAGTGCAGCAATGCCTTTGTTACTTTCATTCTGCCATATGTTATTTTCAGGAGCATAAATGTGGTTGTAAGTATGCACATGGATGAAAAATGAATTGTGTACTACCATTTATTACTATCTTACTTGCAAAATGTTGCTAACCGAGATAGTCCCAAAGCAAGGAAGCATTGTATTAAAGAAACCAATTACTGTATGATTATATCAGAGATACAGTATAATATGAAAATAAATTTATTCTAAAAAGAAAGGGAAAAAGATAAAAATCTTGGACAGTAATATCAAAAGCAAAACAATTTCAAAAACTTTGACAATTCAAAAGTCTTCTTACCCTTCTGTCAAAAAAATTCAACAACATCCTAATTCAAATGTTAACAAAGGACACCTGTTTTATATATATATATAATCTTTAGGTTTTAGAGAATAAAAGACATCTAAAACCAATCACAGAAATGTCTTAGCTTTTCATTCCAGTTAAACGTATTAGATTTCACAAGACACAGATCAACCCAGTCATTCACAGTCCATTTTTCCTAGTAAGATTGACACAAAACAGTTACAATGTTCAACTTTTAAAAAACTTAAGATTAACTGTAACCCAATACAACCTAAGACAATTAAAAAGAAAGAAAAATAATTATGCTGCTAAAACAACTGTGTGAATAAGATGTTTTAAGATTCCTTTTGTTCTTTACCAGAATACATTTCAAATTCAGAGCTGAAAAGGAAAAGAAGTGCATTGGCCCTTCCACAAAGGTGTTTCAGGTTTTCCTGGGCTCATAGAGTACCTACACAATCTTGAAAAAGACATTTGAATTAAGGAGGTGCTGACACTTCCTCACACCCAGCACCTTGTCAGCTCTTAGTTTGTTATCCAAGGGAGATCTCGGTCACTGTCCCTAATCACCAACTGTCCAACCTTGTTGAGTCCCAGCACTTAATAGTAGGGCTTAAAGGTAAAGGTTCCCCGCACATGCATGCTAGTCGTTTCCAGTTCTAGGGGGCGGTACTCATCTGTTTCTAAGCCAAAGAGCCAGAGCTGTCCAAAGACATCTCTGTGGTCATGTGACCAGCATGACTAAACACCAAAGGCACACAGAGCGCTGTTAGCTTCCCACCAAAGTGGTCCCTATTTTTCTACTTGCGTTTTTTATGTGCTTTCGAACTGCTAGGTTGGCAGAAGCTGGGACAAGTAATAGGACCTCACTCTGTTACGCGGTGCTAGGGATTTGATCCACTGAACTGCCGACCTTATGATTGATAAGCTCAGCATTTTAGTCACTGAGCCACCACATCCCTACATAGCAGGGCTTAGGCAGCCTCATATCACCTCTGAATATGCAGAACAGAGTAAAATAAAAATAGGAGAGGAGAAGGAGGAAGAAGAAATCCAAATCTCAATGATAGCAAAGAATGGAAATAAAAGAAAGAGGCAAAGGTAACAAGGAAGAAGTATAAACTGAACTTCCAGTTTGTCGGCTTCGCGAGCGGCAGGGATTCGCGATACTGCGCGATCCCTGCTGCGCTAGCCTTTTTTGGTGCTCCGATCCGGACGGGTTTGGAGCTAAGGCTGCCCTGCAGGGGCGGCTGAAGATAGGGGGGATCCGGAGAGGGGTTTGGGGGTGTTGCAGACCCCCTCCCCGGCCGGCAGAACCCCCTTCTCCCAAGACGGTGTAGCGGCGGTCCGTAATGGCCGCCACAAAGAAGCTGGCAGCTGGGCAAGAATGCGCAGGAGGAAGAGGAGAAAGCCTTTGAAAGTGAAAGTTTTTCTTGGTCGACCCAGGACTCTAAGATATATTTAACATAATTCCTGGAAATTATGGCTTTTTGAATGATACCTTCCAGAAGAGAAAATAAGCGGCAATTTTGAGGTGCTGAAAGGAAAGTTTACTTTCCTTCCCTATGGAATCAACAAGTGGATACTGAGAAACCTGTCTTTTTCAGGTAAAAACTGGCTTTATGTGATAAGTGGGAAGGGAGAGGGCAAAAAATATATTTATATGTTAAGATTTTGTTGGAGGAGATGCCTTAAGGATTTGAAGACTGAAATGTATTGCAATAAGGCTTTAAGATACAGATTTGGACTTTCTTTTTTTGATTGATACTACCCCAGGAAGAGAAAGTGAGAACTTTGTCTTGGCTTGGATTGATTGATGACTTTGGGATTGTTCTATTTTTTGGAATATCTTGGTTGTTGCAAGAAGAAAGAGGGGGGGAGGAAGAAAAGAAAAGATTTATAATGTCTTTTTCTGTTGAGGAACTGAGAAAAGAATATGAGCAAACAAAAAAAGATGGCAAAGATGGTGTGAAAGAAGCCTTCCTTTTTTTAGAAATGGCGCTTGCTACCTATCAACAAACACTACAACAGATGGAGGCAGCAGAAGAAGAAGAAGAAGAAGACCATCTTTAATGAATTTCAAAATTTAACTAAGAAAGAAGGAAGAAAGAAAGGAAGGAAAATGAAGGACTTAAGATTTAAAAAAACACTCAAGAAAGAGAAAAATAAGGTGCAAAATCAATATAATGATAGTAAACAAACGAAAAAAGGAACACAACAGAGAAGGGAAGCCAGTAAGGCAGAGGCTAGGAGAAGGTGGGGTAGAAAGGTCTGGTGGGAGAAGAAAGAAAGGGAAAAGGTGGAGAAAAGCCACAAAGTTTTGAAATCAGATGGGAAAAGAGGAATCTTTTTTAGGGACAAAGGGTAAAGTATAATTTCTTTAAAAAAGATTTTGCAAGGTACATAAGATGGTATTGTAGCATTTGTATGAGAAATAGAAAATTAGAATGGTTTAAGAGTTAATAAGAGATTAAAATGTTGAAATGTTTAGTAATGATTGATTTTAAAATTTAATAAAATATTAAAGGGAATGTTTAGAATATTGAGTTTTAATTAAAGAGTTTAATATGACTATGGTATTGATGTTATTATAAAATTATTATTGTAGCATTTGTCTTTGGAAAAGGCAATGGGAATGTTATAAGATTCAATATTTAGATCTATTATTTAACTATGTATTTAATCATTTTGGATTTATTATTTTTCTTTTATTAAAAAAAAAATTAGTAGATAGAATGTACCAAGCAGAATCAGATTGGGTATTAGGTGTTATTTTAAATGTTAATCTAATTAATTTAGGGGGAAGATAGAAAGGCATCATACTCTGATTAGTGATTTCAGGAGAAATTCTTTTTTTTTATTATAAGGAATGAGACAAAGGGATAATAAAGAATGGACAAAAGATACAAATATAATGACTAAAATTAATATGGATTAAATAAAATAGAATTAAGAAGAGTGAAATGTGTGAAGAAGCTAATATAGAAGACATAGAATGGTAAATAAAATAGGTAATGACATGTAAGATGAGCTTGAATATAATTGAAGTCCATGTAGAGAGAGGTACCTGGGGCCAAGTTACTTTCCTAAAAGATTTTTTATATGTTTGTGTGTTGTGTGTTTATGTTTCTGGGAGAATTAATAAAACCTTGCAGAAATATAGAATGAGAATAATGGTAACCAAGTCAGAAAGAAATAGATGAAATAATAATAGTGAAATTGAATAAGAGTAAAGAGAAGTAAAGAGAAACTGGATAAGAGGTATTTGTATGCTCATATGGAAATGGTTTAAAATAGAATTATATTGTATAAAATAAGGTTTTATTTGACTTGTAAAATTTATAATGGAAAAAGGTTCAAGTATGTAATGGTTAATGATGATTTGTTTGTCTTTAAAATTAATAAAATTTGTTTAAAAAAAAAAGGAAGAAGTATAAACAGATATGGTTATATAAACCTTAGATGTATCTCCTTTGCAGATGAGACAGAAAAGCTCAGGAACAAACTACAAATAGGAAATCAGGAACAAAGGAGAAAGTAAGCTTAGAATCTGGATTTGAAAGTTGAGAGAGTGCCATGTAGAGACTGAGCTACAGAAGGACATCTGGAGACTGCTGGAAATATTAAAAGAAAATGAAAGATTCTTACGAAGAGCACTGTTGAAATTCCCAAATAATAAAGCCCATCTATTTCACTTCACTCCTGTGCCTAGTAAGAGAGAGGCAAAAAAATTCCTTACCAGTCAACAGGGTTATGGGCATGTTGAAGGAGGTAAGGAGATTTCTCATGGATGAGCCGGTTAGTATAGAGACTGTTGCTGGTCTGGCTGCCTTTCCCCCCTGTGGCCATGCTTGAGGTCGTCCTCAGAAAGATCGTCCTGAAACAAGAAATGCCAAATACAGACAGAAGACAATTTGGTCAGTTTCTTTCCCAAGCAGCTAGATGTAGGTTGGATTTCAGGTTGGGTTTCTAGGACAATGTACAGCATAAACTTCCTCAATTGGCATCTTATCAGTCTCAAAACTGCATTGCTAGGAAACAGACCCGTCTGAATTCACAAACAAACAAATTGGCATTTTGTCCAACTCAAAATTGCAGAAATGTCTGAATCAATCAATTAATAAGCAAGCAAGCAAGGAAACTCAAATCACAGAGGAACTTAGGAGGCCTACTGCTAGACTTTAGGCTCAGCAGGCATGTGGATTTCAGTCAAACAGGCTTCCTTCCAAGGTAATTCCTTGCATAGGCCCAAGGGAATAAATCATGATTTTACACAAATTAAGCATAACAGAAGGAAGTTTTTTTAGCCTAAAGTTTCAGCACATCATTCAAAATGTAGAAAAAATCCTGTTATCTGTCTGTCTGTCTCTCTTTGTTGTTGTTGTTGTTATTGTTATTGTTTAAGATTTAATCTTCAATTCGATTCACAGTCTGGGACTGGTAAAAACTTAACAGTTCAAGTCCTAACCAAGAACCTAAGAGCTGTTTAAAGTAACTTAAAGGTTAATTATTATGGCAAATTATTATTATTGTTGTTGTTATTGTTGGCTGCACAGTCAGACAAATCTTTACATTAGATTTAGCATTTGTATCCACTACTGAGTCCTTTCCAAGGACCTGGGACAGACAAATGTTCTTGTCTGATATATTAAAGATATTGTCACAGAATGTAAGATGTTCTAATTATTTTTATATCATCTCCATACTAAGACTGATTATCAACTATTTCAGGCTGTTATTGGAGGGAGCAGCTTTTACCCTTCATTTGGTTGTTTCTTTCTGAGGCCATGGTAAAGTTTATTATACATTACCACATATTAGCCAGGAAGGAGAAAAATCTACAGAAAAGATTCCCTTTCCAGAACAACCATAAAGGATACAATATCTCCAAAATTTATGTTCATGTTTATGAGGAAGGCAGCAGAAGCAGCTTTCAGCCCCGCAACTACTTCCTTCAGTTACCTCAGGCCTCTTCAGACCATCTCAGCTGTCAGCCAGCACCCAAGTTGGAAGAAAGTGAGGATTTCAAACCCAAGCCATGTACAGAGGGTGCTGGGGAGGACAGAAATCATATTCCAGCCCTGCCCCCAGCACACTTTGTCATTTCCTATACCTATACAGTTTAAGAAGCTACCATGCTATAAAGCTGAGTGCCAGTCCCTACAATTTGAAAAATGGGTGCTTTATCTATCATTGGCAGCCATGTTATGAATATGCTGAGGAGAAGTTCTCAAAATTACCAATGTGCCCATTTGTCCCAAGCCTTTCCCTTGCTCTACAGTAATCTCATCATCCCCAAACTTTCTATTATTTTTATTTCTGTTGTTTGTTTATTAATAACATTCTCTGCTCTATGCCTTGTATAATAACAGCTTCCTTGCTCTCTTAATCTTATCTGGAATATTTGTAATTTGTGCTTGTTACCCAGGGTTGCTGATCATTCCTCAAGGGTCTAAGACTTTCTAAATGCTATAAAGATTCAAAGAAAAAAGAAAAACAAACTAAGTGGCCTGCCAAGGTATAGACCATATTTCTGTTAGGGCACAGAAAACAATAATTCATAGTACCTCTGAGGCACGAAATCCATCATTCTTGGCTCAATTATTTGGTAGAAACTGCACATATTTGGGGAAAATGTATATAAAACTTAAAGCACTTGGGAGCATTAGGTATAAATCCTCTCTATATTATCGGAAGTTATGCAAAAGAAAGAAATGAACATCTTAAATATGGACAATACCAGCATCATATCAGCTGCTTGAAGTTGTGCAATAGCAACCTTTAGTAACCTAAACTGATGGCACATGTAGTGCACAGAAATACCACCCATATGTACGTGCATCCCAACCTCTGATGCAAGTAGGGAAACCTTGTCATATGTGTGACATGTCATCATGAATATTTCATCATTTGCAGCAGTTTATATCCCTGAGAGCCAGTTTGGTTCTAGTCATTAAGGCATTAGACTAGAAACCAGGACACTAATGCCCTTCTTAGACATGAAAGCCGGAGGGATGACAGTCCTTCTCTCAGCCCAATCCACCTCACAGAGTTGTTGTTGTTGGAAAATAGGAGGAAGGGGGAATATTTTGTGTGTTTTCCACCTTGTTATTTTAAAAAATAAATAGCAATCAATAAATGCACACCTCATGAAATTGCAAGTGAGGTTGAGAACAATCAGCACCACAATAAATAGATGCTTAATTAAACTCAATGCTAATATCAAGCTTCCTTCCCTTTTTTGGGGGGGTGGGGGGGTCCCAAAGTCTTTTATATTCAAAATATCTGTTACTGCTAAGGATTCCTTTGAATGTTTAAAAAAAGCCCCTCATTAAATATAGCTGAAGATAAAATGCCGTAGCCTTTTCTAAGGTAGTTCAGAACTACCACAGTTCAAAACTGGGATAGAACAGCCTCTCCCGCACCCTCTTCAAAGACCCTTGCTTGTTTCTACCATCATTACTAATCCATATCTGTAATGGAATGTGTGGATGATGTTGGGGATTGAGGAGTAGAGATTGCTGTCCAGGAAACTATCAGACAAGAGAGGCAGGAGCTCCCGGTAGCTTAACAGTCAGGGAAAGAAACTTAGGATGGACCACCCTAATTGACCAGATGATTAAAAGTGGCTCAAAAGTGGGAAGTTTGTCCCTTCAGATTCTTGCAAGGTTCTGTTAATATAGCCTTACAATAAAGTAGAATTAGTTCTTCTAGTCGTGTTTACCTGGGAGAGTTGGCATATTCAAGCTGAGGATTTTCAAACTGGCACTGACTCCACCCACATTCCAGAATGCAATCTGGATCACTAGCAGTAAGGATTCACTGAAGTAAGAGCTGTGTTGAACCAAGACCTCTGGAAAATACTCAGTTGATCTTTTTAGATATTATAAATCAGCTTGTGATTTTCCATAATGGTGGTCTCATAGCATTATACTATTTCTATTATTTCTGTTTCTCTCCCTCTCTCACTATATAATAGAATCTGCCTTTTTTTTTTTTTTTTTGCTGCATAAACATGTGATTAGGAATCTTGGCTGGCTGAGTTCTCCTCTTCTGTCCTATGTTCAGATAAATTATTTATCATGTTTATAGTATATCTATGAGGCATATTATACAACCTTAGTTCGGAGCCCATAGATTTGAAATAAATATGAAATTTTCACCACAGATCTCCCAAAATGTCACTGAGATTTTTCTTTAGCAGTGATGGGCAAATTACAATCCTCAAACTGTACGTTCTCATCTAAGAGTTTTGAATGCATCACTCCTGTTGGGGAAACACCCTGGAAGTCAAAGGGGGGGGTCAACTCACCCTTTGATGTTGCTAATTTATTTAGCACTCTTGGTCCATCAAGCCCAGGAGCCAAAGATTCTTTTCATTGCAGAAATCAAGGTATTTGATGCTCTGGCTAATGTTAGAACTAAAGGTTAGTTCCAGTCTGCTTCCGAGTGGATCAGCATGCCAGAGAAAAGGAAATTGGCAGTTCGTGTCTTGTAAGACTTTTCCTACACAATGCACAGAGGTCCTTTTGCTCTTCAGGTCCTATTAAATTTATGCATAAGATTATAGAAAACCTCTGGCCTAATGTTAGGGCTTCAGTCACTGGATCTTATAGGAAGGACTTCAGAAAAAAAAAGAGAGTGGCTACAATTGCTAAATATTAGAAGACAGTGGGCAAAGGGTAGGAAGAGGAAAGGGGGCCCTTTTAAGCCTTCCTCCTTTGCACTTTGAGCAAAGGAAAGAACTTTGGTTAAGTGTGCATGTGTGCGTGCATTGCATGGAGGCCTTTGACTGCACGAATCCCTCAAAACCAAAGAAAATATTCACTTATCTTTTAGGGCATTCTTGAATATACAATGTTCTACACAAATATACTTTTTAGTTTATAATGTCAGCCTTCCCAACTTGATACCTTCTTGATGTGTTTGGCTAACAATTTCAATTTTTCTCCAGCCTATATGGTTATATTAGTTGAGTATAACGAGTATTTTGTATATGGGGCTTTAGGTCAGTATAACATATCAGTTGTCATTATTCATAGCAGTATGACCTGGGATATCCATGCTCTAAATAAAAATCAGTATATTAAATACTGATTTTTATTTTTAGAGCATTTATATCCCAGGTTTCTTCTTCAATAAGATTTTAAAGCACGTAGGGCAAAGATTCCCTTGTCAGACATTACACTGATTCAACCCTTCAATCTTTATAATGGATGGCTTGCTCAGCATGAAACTAAATTTTTCATAGCTTTTTGAGAAAGGTAAGGGTCAAGAAGACTTGCTGAGTAAACACCAAAGATGATGTAGCAAAAAAGGTAATTATCAACAATGGGAGGAAAAGCAATTTAACTGGTTCTTAAAAATCAACATTGGCCTGGAAAAGCTAGTTTGTATCAGGGTCACAGAACGGGCAGGTGGAGAACCAAAGGTTAGTTCCCAGTCTGCTTCCAACTGGATCAAGGTGCCAGAAAAAAAGGAAGTTGGTAGTTCGTGTGCTGTAAGACTTTTCCTACAGAACGCAAACGGGTCTTTTTGCTCTTCACGTCCCACAGAATGTATGCATACCATTACGGGAAACCTCATCAGCGAGATTTCAGAAGTAAGGGACCTTGAATATCGCCGCTGACATGCGAACGGCCAAGATCAGCCTTCCAGACCTCCGGCTTGGATCAAAACTAGCCACGCCTTCTCAGGGGTCTCCTAAACGGCAACAGAAGAGACGGAATCTCTTCCAGGTCGAGCGAACGTTACGCAGTTCAGAAGAGCGGGCACCGACAGAGCGGTTGCCCCAGTCCAAAGGAAAGCGGAGTCAAAATGACACACGGCTTCCTCCGGGGTCGGAGAGAAACTTTTTCTTCCCTCCCCCCCTCTTTTGCTCCAGATCTGATTCGGGTTGCCCCCCCCCCCCCCCCCACACACACACCCGAGATCTGCATGTAAACACCGCCAGCACGTGACCTGCCTGGACCAAAAATAAAGAAACAACGCAAGTGGCCGAGGAATTGGGGCGACGAAGGAGAACCGCTCTTTTGGTTCTGCGGCGCGGCCCCGATACCTGCGCGTCCAGGGAGTCCGCTTCTGGCCTGGCCGGCGGCGGAGCAGCAGGCTACAGCTCGTGCGGCGCCAAAGCGCGACGGGGGCGGAGATCATCGTCTCCGCCGGCGGGAGAAGCTGCTGGGCAACGAAGGGCGTTGGCACACGTTAGGGTCGAGGGCAACGGGGCCTAGTGGGAAGGAAGCACCGGGTCTCGTGAGAGCCGGCCGCGCCATAGGAGTCCCTCCCCAGGTTTTCCCGGCTGTGTGTTCCAGCGTCACCGAAGGGGGTGTAACTCTGTTTTGACAAGAGAAAGGAGGAGGATCGCTTCGATAGGGGAAAAAAAAAAAAAAAGGACGGACAAAAGACAGGCTGAGCGGCAGGGGATCGGCTCTCCCTGGCGCTATATTGAAACACATTGGATAGTTTGGTGTAGTGGCTTGAAGCCGTCAGGTGGTGAGATTCTAGCCCTGCCTTAGGCTGAGAGGCAGCTGGGTAACTTTAGGCTTAGCAGGCCGTGGCAAACCACTCCCCCAAAATATTACCAAGAAAACTGCAGAGACTGGTCCACGCAGCCACCAGGAGGGGGGGGAAAATAACCTTGAAGTTTGAATTGAAGGCGCGCACAAGCGCATTGGAGGGGCATCCTGGTGCACGTGGGCCGAGCCGTTTTTTTTTAACAGGATAGTTTGAGAACGTCAAGGCAGGATCCGTCTCCTGCAAGGGGGCCGATCGTTGCGAAATGCAAGGATCCTCATTCCTCGTAGCTTTCTGGAGGCTAGGCCTTTTTGGAGGTGTTAGATTGCCACGCAGTTAGTCTCAAAACCGCAGGAATCATCCATCTAGCTAGCCTGACTTTTCCGGGTGAGACTAGTATTCATAGGATAGGATGGGATGGGATGGGATGGGATAGAATAGAATAGAATAGAATAGAATAGAATAGACACACAAGGAATTTGTCTTGGTGTAAATACTCTCAGTATACATAAAAGAAAAGACACATTCGTCAAGAGTCAAGAATCATAAGGTACTTAATGATAGTCATAGGGTACAATAAGCAATCAAATCATACTAGGAAACAGTCAATATATTTCTAGTCAGAGTCTCATCCTGCTGCTGCATGAGGCTGCCTTTTAGAAATGATTCAGCGATCCTCTGCAAGTCTCACCTAGGGCCCTTCTCTTTCGGTACTGCTAAGAGGTAAAAACTTTTAAAGGACACACTGATTTTTCTGATCTTTTACTAGAGATATGGGATGAGCGAGTAGATAAAACCTGAAACCATGTATAATGGAAAACTTATTACTGAGCTGTGGTGGTTCTCCTGTCCAGATTCAAAAAACAGATTTAGTTGCATTAATCCACTAGTTTCAAATGTGTAGACCCAGTCATTGTGACCTTTCTTAAAGCATGATGTGTGAGCTCAACCAATATATCCTTTCATTCCAGCAGGAAAAGCTATTGCTCTTTGACTCAGCAATTATAGAAACAGAAATCAAAAGACTTAGTTGCCTGCTGACCTTATCAACTTCAAGTCCCTAATTGGTTTCTTTACATAAATACGCTTAGGTTTAAACTTCAGATTAAAATCTAAAAGAAAAGGAGGCATACTCAGAAATAACTTCTAGTGATGTAATCAGTCCACTATATAAAAGCAAAATGAGATTCTGATACGATGCTTGAAAATTGTTGCCATCCGAAGGGGCCTCTTCTCAGTCACATCTACCTAACCAGGGAGGCAGGGTGCTATGGATACTCTCTCCTAAGGAGGTCCAGCAAGCGGGACCAAGAAGGGTCTTATTTGTGGTGGCTGCCTCCTTGTGAAACATCATCCCTATGAAGATTGGCCCCCATTTTGATACTTTTTCTCGAGCCCCTGAAGATCTGATCTTGCCAATAGATCTGGAGAACCAAGAGTGGATTAGCCCATCAAATGTCTCATTTGACTGGTCTACATGGGAGGTGTGGAGGTTATTCCTGTTTTATTGTTTTTATATTGGATTTTTATCTTTGTAAACTTCCTGGAGTCAATGTGAGTGAGGTCAGCAATATAAATTTTCTTAAATAAATTTCAAATATTCATTGTGCAAAAATAGTGTAATTTAAAATGTTGCTCCATGCCTTAATTTTTGAACATAGATTCAACAGTTAAAAACAATTTCAGAAAGATAATCATGAAAATAAATTAGTAATTTTTTGATTAAGTGGCATGAATTGCATGATTATTGTTCCTGACTAAATTGTTCAGGTATAGCTTGGGTGAAGTAGAAATTTTTACTTTTAATTTATTTAGAAATATGTTCTGCTGGACTGCACTGGTCTCTAAACTGTAATGGAAAAACAAGGTCCTTCCAGATCTTTCTGATGGTCAGCTACACAATGAGGGATGTTGAAAGTTGAATTGCAGCAGCTTTTGGACACCTGCAAGTTTGCCCTTCCCAATCCACTTTTCATGCACATTTGTTTCAGATTTTATAAGTCTTTATGTCTGCTCTGGAATGAATGATTAGAAGTATGGAGAATCCTGTATTTGGCATAGCAGTCAACTTCTGCTACTGCTTCAGATCCAGAATTCTGCCAGTAAAGAGCTTTGAATGCTGAAACGACTGGTGTGCATGTCTGCTTCAAAATGCACCATTATATTCAATAACTTATTCTTTGTGCACATAAGATAGCAGGTTTAAGATACTAAGGCAACTGAATATTATAGGTATAAATTCATTTTATTTAGGTAGCTTTTTACAATTAGTTTTTAATACATTTTTTCTCTGTAAGCTAACTAGAATTGTGCTAAAAGCTGGGTTCAAACATTTTTAAAAATGATTCAAAATGATGTTTTAGTAGAGTGGATGGGAAAGGAAAACACAATGGCTGGAGAAATGGCTATTAACACTCTGAAAATACTTGACAAAATTTCTTTGCCAGTTCTTAACAGAATGAGCATCTCTTCCTTTTGTACAGCAAAACATTGCTCTTACTTTGTTAACATAGACCAGCCTTGGTTTCTCTCAGATATGAGAAACCATGCTTTCCATTTCAACATGTATTCAGGGCTCAAGATTGTGCAACATTGGTATCACCAAAGCAATGTAAGAAAATTAAAGACTTTCATGTCATAGTTCTTCCAGTGACATATCAGTGGAAAGCCCACAAGCAAGGCATGACAGCAGCAGAATCTTTACCTTTATGGCCATTTGAGTTGGTGATGAAATCTCATCTTTTGGCAGCAAATACAATTAGTAACTAGGCAGATTATTTCCTTTTATGAAAGCAGGAATGCCAATAGAACGAACTACTGTATAATATTTGTGAAGTTTCAGAGAATGGACACAGAATACATATAACTTAAATTTTACCTACTGTCATTATAGAAAAACCAACACGCTTGGAAATCTAGCTGTACAGCTAGGTTGCAGCACCAAAGTAACTTTGGGCTCTACAGTTAAGTAGCATCAGATCTAGTTAGTACTTGGATGGGAGTCTTTTAGGAAATAATAGGACTGTGGGCTTGACTAGGAAGTTGAAAAAAACCTCACATTGTTATAAAAGTCAATGGCAAACTGTTTCCATGTCTTGCCCATCAAGAACCAATGATTTTCAGGCTTCATGAGTTACATAAATATGAAACAGGTATCTCCAGAGTGGTAGTCTAGAAAAAGAATTTCAAGTCCATTGACTTGAAAAGAAAACCAAGAGAAGGCCTGTAGTTTAAACCTTGGGCTGAAACACAGAGTTTGATTGCTGAATTCTGCAGCATTACTTATCTCTGCATTAAAGTAACTTTTGTGTTATGTCAAGTCTGAAGCTTCCCCTGCTTGGTAGTTGCTGAATATGGGATTGCCTTTCTGGGAGATGTTTATTGTCAGAGTGAAATCTGACAACAGTAAAGCCAGCTTCTTAATGATTGGATTTAAGTTTCCTGGCACTTGTGATAAAGAATTTAGAATATGCTTGACAACTGGGCAAAAGACAAACTAATTATTAT